CTCTTTGCGCGCTGATATTCAGAGACTAACCTTGTCTGGCCACATGGAGGCACTGCCTGTTTTGATTAATTCATTTGTGTAGATATATTTATATATTTAATGTGACATTGAAGAGGTGAGAAGGCATTTTGTCAATTCTTAAGTGTCTGACAAGTTGAATAAAGTTTAGCATAGCAGGAACAGAAGGACGTCAAGGAAAGAATGAAAGAACTGGAGAACGGGGGATTTGAGTGACACCGCGCTGACCTCTTGACCTCTGCGTCTCTCGGGGTCACCGTCCCTCAAGCGCAGGAAAAGGCAGGCGTGTGAAAGGTTCGTCGTGACAGGAGGTCGTCGTGAGGAGCGTTCGACTGGCCTCGACTCTCTCAGCTGTCAAACGCTCCATTTACTCAAACAGCCGACGAAACAAATGCAGTCCAGAGAAGTTCGGGAGGACAGGACTGTGTTTCACACTCACAGGACGAGAGGATTGCTTCCACTCTCAGTCTCATCAGGGCCTGTCCCCAAACGAGATGAGAACGAGGAATATAGCGCTGGGTTCAGGATTATATCAACACATCCTTTACTGAGTGAAAGTCACAACAATATTCTTCAAAACAAACATTTCATAACATTCATTCAACTCATTCTCACTAGAAAAAAAGTCTATCTACTGTACCTCTGGTGTGTGTGTGTGTGTGTGTGTGTGGGTCACCGTGATTTTGCCAAAGTAAGACATGGTCCTGGATCAACATACCTGTGCCAAAATGTAGCCCTTACCCAATCCCTAACCCTAACCCTGACCCTGACCCAATCCCTAACCCTGACCTTCCCCTAAAATCAGAGGGTAATGAAAGGCAATGACACTGGTGTGCTGTTTCCGGCTGCAATGAAAACACTAATGAGAGTAAAACTCCAACAACCTTTATTCCTTTCTACATAAATTATAAAACAGGGGTTAGATTAGACTTATTTTAATGCACAATACTATGCTAGAAACTAATGTATTATTCTGAAGTTTGCTAACCACATTTGTCAAAAACGCTTCTCACGGCACAGACTAAACCTGTTTATTAAATGATGTTTTATTAACAAATTTCGGGAGGAGCATGTTCAGTTAATTAACACGAGTGGAGTGAACTCAGCAATCAATGATAAGAGGTGTATATATAGATTCATCAGTCTCTCCTCACTGCATTGATAGTTCAGCAGCGTCTCCCAGTCCTAAACACTTCCATAGGGGGAGTACTCTGGGTTCGAGCTCGGAGCCCTCCCCCCGGACAGCACGCCAAATACGCATTAAAGCCACACTATGCAAGAATTGAACTATAATATAACAAAGCTGTTGTTCGGCCCTAATTGTCCCTGACATTGTACTAAAGCAAAATCTTGAGTAGTTATTGTCTGATAAAATATTAAAAATTGTCGAGTTGAGTCGCCCCTGCCGGCGGCTCATTGGTTACAGCATCTTTTCTGTTTCTTTCTTTTGAAGTTCTACAAAGATGTATGTGCAATTTATCTATATTTGTTTCGTTGACATGCCTGCTGTACTCAGTGACTCTAGGGGTCGCTGTTTGACAAAAACGGAATTCCTGCGTAGTGTACCTTTAAATCTTATCCGCTCTAATTGTAGGTAAAGGTGAACTCGTGAAATGTCTTGGTTTCGTGTTTCATGTCCGTGTCTAAAGCCACCAGATTTTACAGTGACATGAATTTTTGAAGCTCGATTAGACACACAGCCTTTGACATCAAGATCAAAAAATTTGGGAAACTTTTCCTCTTCCCATGATTAATAAAGCGGGATAGCTTTTCATTTTTTAGCCCGTGATTACAGGGTTAGTCGTGTTTATTATTAGCGTTTAGCATCAGCCATCAGAAGCGTATCTGTGTGTCAGTCTGAGAGGAATGACTCGAGCTCGGCGACAGCTCAAGTGGGGCTAATAGAGACTCTTTCCTAAACCCATGGTGAGGATCAACAGCGCGTATCTCACAGCAGGAACGGCAGAGACACCTCGCCACGGTCTCCATCTGCTCTCACAGGTGCTGTTAGACCGCACATCCCCGGGGATACACAACAACTTTTTATGATCCTTTGTAACGGAGAAAAACACCCAGTACCACATGTCACATGTGAAATACATCACAGTAATGTAGTGAGAGGCCGTTTCGCTCTCTCGTGTGCCAGCGATTCCTCTGGGTTCTTTAAACAAACACCTTGATTTTCATAAAGAGATCTGAATGATCGGCTCTCTGGTAGGCGGCAATAAATCAATGTACCTGTTTTATTCTTTACGGCTGGAAGATGAATTGCGCGTTTGATAAAAGATGACTCCTCAAACACCGTGACAATTACCTGGCTGATTCTCATTATGAAGCGGACAGAAGAGTCCTCACACCGTCACGCATGACAGCACACAAACACCCGTGACACATTAATCATCAGACCATCGTGTCTGTCTCTGCATTACTCTAGTAATTGTATCAGAACCTTTCAGATTGTTATTTTAATACCAAACACAGGTTTTTCATAAAGGCTTGTGAAAAACACATTTAAGGACAACACTATTGGACAAAAGTTTGGGTTCAGTCAGATGTTTTATGTTTCTGAAAGAGTCTCTTCAAACCTGCATTTATTAGATCATAAATAAAGTAAAGACGACGAAAAATTACTCCAGTGTAAATCATCTGTTCTCTGTGTGAATATATAGTAAAGTGTAATTTATTCTTGAATTTATCATCATTACTCCAGTCTTCAGTGTCACAAGATCCTTCAGAAATCACTCTAATATGAGGATCTGATGATCAACACACAGTTATGATTATTAGTTGACAGTTGTGCTGCAGCAGATTTCTGTGGAAACCAGCATATTTTTTTTCACGTTTCTCTAGCATTTATTTGACATAGAAATATTTTGTAACATTTTGTAACTATCATGACAAGTATCTGAAGATTTTTAGCATGGTAATGGTTGTGACAATGTAGATGTATTTAGTCTTGCTGGACTAGATCTGTAAGTACAGGAACTGTGTTCAAACTGGTTTCCTAAACACTCCTGCGGTCGGGAAAGTCTGAAGCACTGGGTGTCAACATAACCAACGATCTGAAAGCACCTCAAACTCAGTGTTTCATTCTTCAGGATGTCAAACTAGTGACTGACTTACTCTGAACATTAAACTGACACTCCACAAACTATAAGAGTATTGAACATCACACCCAGCGGCTTTAACTACAATATCACAAACTCACATCGACGGAAACAGAAAAACTCAGTAGTATCTGCAAGAACTAAAGTAACTTCTTCTAAACTCAAATTGACAAAATGACATGAGCATTATTACGTTTGTTTCCTATCAAGTTTAGAGTGATTTTCCCTGGTTTCCCGTATCTGTGTCGAGTGACGGCAGGAGACAGGGAGAGGAGATGGGCAGATGGACGTATAGATGAGCAGATGTAATCACATGTGATTGAGATCAGCGCTTTTGAGTTGAGAGAGTCCGAGAGTGATCTGCTTATTCCCTGTCTAATGTGCGCAACAGACATAAGGAAAAATCATATTTGGCTCCCAAGAAACGTAATAAGCAGCACTTAAGATGGACAACATATTTATTTATTATCGTGAATGTGTCCATGGCAGACGGAGTCAATCTCCCAGGCTTCCGTCTAATAAACTACAGGAATCACCACAGGCACCAAACCCTTTTCACTTAACAAGAGCTGCTCTTTATCATATACTTCATTTTAAATGGATGGAGAAAATGGAGAAAAAAATGGACAAAAAAGCTAGAAAAATAATAACGATCACTGTTTTCAGTCTGATAGATAGCGGCCGGTCAGTTCCAGGCGCTTTCCAGTAAAACCAACTGAGAAAAGAGGAGTAGAGGAACACTAGACTGACGAATCACCTTATTTCGCTCATTCTCTTTGGTTGTTTCTGTGGTGATGTGACGGTGCAATGCTATACGTGTTGGTATGTTAATAGTTTAATAGTGATGGTGTGTTGTTCAATGCTGGGATCTTGAGATGGTGTTTTGTTAATGATGGGATACAGGGTATTGTTATGATGTTATTGTGATACTGTATTGGTGATGAAGTCATGGTGCTGTTGTGTATGATTGCATATTGATGATGATGGTGATGTTGTGATGGTGATGTTGTGATGGTGATGTTGTGATGGTGATATTGTGATGGTTATATTGTGATGGGGATGTTGTGATGTGCAGATGGAGTCCTACTTATCTAACACTGAGAAGCTTGTTCTCCATCACTCTCCACAATACATGACTCTCAGAGTCTTATTCAAACACACCTACAATAATCAGGAGCAACTAACAAGAAAAATATACATAATAAAGAATAAATGTATTTGAGTTAATTTAACACACACACACACACAGGAAAGTGCTCATAAGGAATCCAACTTACTTGAGGCTGAATGAGTTTAGATTTGCTTGCATGACAACAGAAGAACAGCAGCCGTAGCTGGGAGCAAGAAACCTGTGACACACACACACACACACACGCACACACACACACACACACACACGCACGCACGGTTCACTTGTGTTTCAGTTATGGTGGCCTTACAGATGCATTATCTGTTGTCTTTAGCAAAACCCCATCAGGGAGGAAAGCAGTAATTAAGTGTGTTCTCGTTTCACTCAGCGCATTCAGGGCTTATTTTGACAGATTTAATTGTTTTAAATTGTTACAATAATACTTGCAGCTCTTGGCTTTGATGGGGAAGTATTGTGTGTGAATGAAAGCCGTGTCACACTCACTCTAGTTCATTTAGAGAACACCACTGTTGTGTTTTTGAGTTTGTGAGTCTCAGGGGGAGACAGTCATTTAACTGGTGCGAATAAAAGCACAGCGGGAAGAAATTCGTCCACATTCATCAGCAGAACATGTAAGAACATGATGTGGAGAAAACACTGACATTTCTCAGATATGACAGACTAAATTCTATTCAGAAGGTATTTATTATTTTCTCTAAATGTGCTTCAGCCGTCATACAGGATTAGCAGTTTGAATCTCATGAAAACACGTCTTTGTCATATTTTACCTATTTAAAAATAATAATGAGAAAACATGTTTTCATAAAAAAGGAGGATTGTGATGTTACTTTCATGACAATTCAGCACATATTCACTACAATTCTCATTTACTCTCAGGTACCTTTACTTTTGAGAGTCATTACTGTAATAAAGCATATTTTAATTCTTTTCACGCAAACGGCTGTAACTGTAGTATTAAGTGTACGATGAAGGAGCTTGAACAAAAACACAGTCTTTAATAAATACAAAAACACAAAAGGGAAATCGCAGGAGAATGACACAACAACACACTGACGATACGGAAACTGAGGCTTACAAACACGAGAAACTGATTAACCGAGCCAGAAACAGGTGTGTAAATCATCAGTTACCATGGAAACAAACTAGTGGCGGGAAAAAGAGACCAAAGGAAACAGGTACAGGAAACAGAACTAAACCAGAACAGAGCAGCTACACATTACAGTTGTGTTACAATAAATAATTACTGCAACACAATTATGTTTTTTTGAATCACCATAAATTAAAAGTAGCAATAGATAAATAATAATAAAAAACATGATGTATGAACACCTGAATGTATGAATATGAATACACATTTCACGAGTGCACACTTACACACAATTACAGGGAGTAAAGTTTAATGCGTATTTGGCGTGCTGAGCTCGGATTCGGCCCAAACCCAGAGTACTCCGCCCCAAAAGGCTAGAAAGCAGAGGACAGCCGCTGGACTAAAGACCCCAAATGAGTGGCGAGTTTGGCGGGCTGGCATCTGGAGAAAGGCTCTGGGTGATTGGCCAGGAGGGCCCGTGGCGGCGGCTCACGGCGCTGGACTGACCCGAGAACGGGGAGCAGTTGTAAGAGTTTGTGCCGCCTTGATGGGAGCCGTTCGCACAAATCACGGAAGACAGACCGAGAGGCCCATGTAGCTTCGACAGGGCGGCTTGTGGTCGTCTGGGCATCGCTGACGACTGTGGAGTGGCCACTCCGATCTAGGCTGGCAGGAAAGTTTGACTGCGTGCGCTGTGAGTCCAAATGCTTGCTGGAAAAGAGAAGGAAAGAGGAAAAAAATCGGGAGAATGAGTACTTACATTCATCCAGAAAAGGATTTGCTTGTGTGCAGTTGTCTTAGCTAAATCATATGCACAAAAATAAATCTGACTAAACCTTTTTTTTTCCTCCTTTTAAAATAATTTTCATCTGAAAAAATACATATAAAACATTCACTATTCTTATAGTCTGAAATAAAATAAAAAAAAAAAGTGTTCACTTAACATTTGATATAAATGCTGTGAATCCACACTAAGAGAATCACCTTCACCTCCTCGGCCTGTGTGTGTGTGTGTGTGTGTGTGTGTGGAAAGCTTCGCCCACTCAAGCGTTTTCTGAGATTGATAAATGGTGGATCTGTACGTGGTGTTGGAGGGGAATGCAGATATTAAAATTTGGTCAAGAATCTAATTAGCCGGCAGTAATTAAACAGTCTAGCTGAGGGTCATTAATCTCTCGCGTGGACCTTTGATGTTTTGCATACTGTCCCACCATCATTAATAAAATTCATAATGCCTTCCTTTGTGTTGTTTTATCATCGTTGTTTTTTGTAAGCGCACAGAACAAGTGTCAGCACATCACACGAGTTCTTCTCATTTACTCTCTACTCCACAACCTCTGAAAGTGTGTGTGTGCGTGTTTGTGAGAGTGTGTGTATGTTTGTGAGAGTGTGTGTGTGGGCACGACGTGTCAGCAAACTTAAGGGGAGAAAACACAATGTTGTGTGGCCATTGTGTCCCAGTAATTACATTTATTACAATCAGTGTATCGCAAATCAGTCATGCTGTAAGTATCAGACGGACGTGTGTGTGTGTGTGTGTGTGTGTGTGTGTGCAAAGACAGCAAAGTAATTTCTAGCATCCTCACCGTGGTGTCTTGCTGTGAATAACGCCACTGATACCTCACGCCGCCCTCTCGTCTGCAGGGTCAGCGGTGTGTGTGAGTGAAGGATGCATTAGTGCACTGTTATCTTAATGAGCTGAGCTGTAATACATGCGCCGGTGTAAGAGCTGCAGATACGGCCGCCTAATGCTTTCATATATCATCATGTTTAACACTACACATTAAAATCACTGCTGACTCTCGACAGCTACTGACGACACAACTGTGTGTGAGAGAGTTTCTGTCAGCGCTGAGATTCACACACACATTCATATCATTAATATCACATGATGACGGCGATGATTTATTAGGACTTGATTCTGTCTGGACCATTCAAATATTTCACATTTCCACCAGTATTTCCAGCTCATAATGACTTCGGTGCCTCAGCGAGGCTGTTAGTTTCACATCATTTGCCAGTTTTCTTACTGATTCTAACAAACTCATTTGGAAAGTCAACAGATCATATTTTCTCACCAATCAGTTCAGGCATCAGAAAGCATATACTGAACAAACATCCAAATTCTACAACCATTTTATCAAAGAAATATCATAATATCATCAATAGGACAAATCAAGTTCTTTCAAATCAAGAATAAATAAAAGCAGCCAACAGTTTCAATACATCCAGCCGTTGAACAAACTTCACAAAACTTGGTACATGCCAACTTTAATCAGTTTAGAATTCGATTACTTCCGGAAAAGTTAATATGCATTTAATAATAGTTTGCTCAATTCAAAAGTTGCATTTGTTCATTATTTAATGGACCTGAGCTGACAAGAACTAACAATGAACAGATTCCATTCATTGTGCTAAGCTAAGCTAGCGCCGACCCTGTCAAACTAAAACAATGCACGCACTGAGACAAAAATGCATTTGCACACATGTCTAAATGTAGGAAAGAATGTGAAAAAGCCATATTTCCCAAAAACGCTGCAGTGTTCCTTTAACATTATGATTTCCTTTAAAGCGGCTTTGAAACAGTACAGATATGACGGCAGGTTTGTGTGTGTTTGTTGTTTCGGTACAGTGGAAAACTGTGGCTTCTGGTGTCAAAGATTCAGCTCATGATCTCCACTGCCAATATTTCCGCTCTCAAATTCATTAGCATTGGGTGATTAGCAGAATATTTTGGCTTCAAATACGAATCTAAACTTATTACATATTTAATCCAATCAGCGGCTCTGATAGATTCTGCCATTACATGCCTGATTTCTTATGACTAAACGCTGAACTCGGTGGAGAACTCGGTTGGCTAGTTTCAGCCAAAGCGGCACTTAGAGGATATTTCAGAAAGAGACGGAAAAAGAAACGGGAATAAGGAGGGTAATGTTCAGACGCTGTGGTGTTTGCTGTAACAGGATCTGTGTGAGCATTAGGGTCTGCTGTGGTCCATGAGGAGCGAGAGCAAACGGGGGATTCCCTGAGAGACACTCCCGATCCCAACATCACAGGCAGACCCAGCAGAGACCCAGCCAGGGACCCGTGGGGGCCGGAACCGGTTCTGACCGCAGCTGTGCATCTCACTGACCCTCCAAACACACACACACACTTTATTATATGATACACATGTATCACGGATGTGTTTGGCTGCTGTTGCTCTTCCAGGGTCTGCTCAGGATTGCTGGTGCTCTTCTTTCCATTGAAAAGTTTCCTACACCTACTTGATATCCTAATATATGAGGTGGAAAATATGTCTACTGGATGGGAAAAATACTGCCAGGTTGGAACAGCGCCTCCTATCGGTTTGGCTGTATTACTACAGCATGAATGACAATGGCAATTTATTTATATAGCACAATTAAATTCATTTTAAATTGTCCAATGTGCTTTACAATATTAATAAAAAATCATAAAAAACTAACAACAATACAAAAACAGGACAAATATACTTTTAAGTAAAAAAGCATAAAATAAGTGCTTCCCCTGCCGCATAAGTGCTGTACGAATTGTTATCGTGACATTGCTGAATGACTAATCCCAACGTAAAGAGAGTTGCAGTAATCCAGCCTTGAAGAAATAAATGCATGTATTACTTTTTTGAAAATTTTAAAAGAAAGAACAGTCTTTACCTTTCATAGTCTTGGCTGAAAAAAGCAGGATTTCACTACTAAATTTATTTGCCCCTCAAATTTAAAGATTCATCAACGACTACAACCACATTTCTCACCCACGGCTTCACACAAGAAGAGGAGGAGTCTGAGGGTCTAAAAAAATAACTTCGGTTTTGCTCTCATTAAAATTCTGAAAGTTTGAAGACAACCAGGCTTTACTTCGGTCAAACAGGCCATGAGAGTTTACAGACTATCTGACGAGCGTTTCAATAAGTTATAAATTAAGTAAAACTCGATTGAATTAATTAAAGACTACAGATTAAAGATTGTTTAAAATAAAGATTGTATCTGCATAAATCAGAACCACATATGCAATTTTTAATAATTTCTTCTCAGAAATTCTGCATTTAGATAACTTTTCCAAAATCAATACAAGCAATTTTTGAATTATATACATTTTTATAGCTGTCCTTCAATTAAATTGATTGTCTTTTCTTGCAGTGGTTTGACTGTCCATATTCCTCTCTTCCTGTTTGAAAAAGCCTTTACCTTTAGACATAATATATAATATATACAATGTGTTGTGGCTTACTTTGACTTTTGTCCTATGCCACTTAAGTTTTAGGACTGTGATGATAACGAAGACCGAGATCCCTGAAACGTGCCGACTCCCTGCGTCTCTTCTGATGGACCGTCTTCCCGAAGCCATGAATGTTTCTGGTCCTCGGACTCGTTTATGCTGTAATTTAGAGAATCCTGCAGCAATAAAGAGATCCTTTGATTTCATTCAGACGATGATTGTGTCCCTCGGGCAAAAGTCACTCAAACCTAAAATCCAGTCCCGGCGTGCACAGAACAGGTCATGGCCACGATGGGGTGGTGCTGGTTAACCTTTATTGAGTTGAGTTTGAGTGAATAGAGTTTTGTCTTTAAGAGAACTCTAAAGAAAATTGTTCACTACTGTTTTACAGATATTTCAGTGTTTTCCAATTCTGAAAGAAAAAGAAATTAAGGATGTTTTTTTTAAATGGAGGATGAAGCATGTTACATTTGACAAGCAGTGAAATAGTTCCCCCCTCCCAACATAGTCATCCCACCCGTCCCCGCCCCCCCCCCAAAAAAAATTAACAACATTCTGGGAGAACAGCTTTTTCTCTTCATTTGTTACACAGTTCTTCAAAACAGTTTACGAATCTACACACTAAAAACAGGCACACAACTGAAAAATGTTGATATATTTTTATGTATAGCAGGCCTGAATATTGCCGTCATATATGTGGTTTAATGACGCCTGTAGGAAACTCTATCGCCCCCTTGAGGAAATGTGTGCATTCATGTCTGAATTCGTGTCCTTCTGTATTATGTGAACGAACAGTCCCAACGCTCACATGAACCGCAGTTGTGTGTCCATGATACCGGTCGAGTGTGTGACTGAAACACACACGCTCACATGAACCCCGTGGTGGACAAGCGCCCGCAGTCGCCGGGACCAGCGCATGAGCCGAAGTGTCCTGGTTTACACAAGCCTTGCAAAGATCGTCTTTTGTGAACAGCTCTGCTCATGTTTCAAAAGACTTTCAATTACTTGCTTTCCCAGCGCAATGTAAATATTTTGTTAGGCCGTTGGTTCAGTCAGCGCTCGAAGCGAAGACCTTTTAATTTGCTACAATGCGCTTTATTAGCTGACGTCGAGTGTCACGGCACAAAGCCCAGCGATCGTCACGAGGCCGTCTGAGAGAACGCCTGTTTATCAATTACTGCGAGATCTGAGCGGTTCTGAAGAGCCGGCTCGACTCATCTTCCTTCAAAGCGTCCTCTGTTGGTCTGGGAGAGAATAAGAAAAGGTTTATGTAAACAGATGCAGAAATAGGCCGAGGTTCAGGAGTGTCTCGCTCGCCCTTCTCTCCGTTTGAAACCAGAAGCCCTCGGGCTTGTGTACTCTCTGAATAAGTCTGTGTTTTGACAAACCAAGGTGAAGGCCTGTAACGATGCATTCTCAGTGTGTGTGTGTGTGTGTGTCAGCGAAGGCTTGATGTGCGCTGGATAATGGTCTGC